TATATATATATTAAAATTACACTCTCAAAAAACAATTTTTGATGCAATCTTCGATTTTTACAATCCTGAAACATGGTACCATGTTCTTTAGGTAGCATCTACTGTATACTTTGTACTTTGAATATTGTCTCTATAAAGAGGCACCACCAATAAGAAACACACTTTATCGTGGTGTATATGTAAAATTGCAGATTAAAGCTAGACATTGTTAATGACCTGAGAAAAACTGATGAGGCAAAGATACAAAGTTCATTAAAATCACTCATTAACAGAGTCACACTTGCTCTCTGCATGTGCACTGTTAATATACACCACTTTACAACGACAAAAACATAATCCAGAACAGACTTGCAGAAAATGTACAACTAAGTTAACCTCAAAAACTAGCTACATGTCATGCATTTAAATAATCTGTAATTTACAGTACAGTTGCATAAAAAAAATCTCGAGCACAATCATGTATGCATATACCAAAACAATAAGACCAAAAACCCTGTATAACTGTCAAAGAAATGTTAGTGGTTGGTTAAAGTTTGGAAAACTTACCGTACTGGAGAAGATATGTGGCCTTCACTGCTGTGGAGCTCAGTGCTTTGGTGTGTTTCTCTCTAGTCTATATAAACACAAATATCTGATCAACCTTGAACTATGATATCTGTTTCAGCTGCTCTGATTGGCTTTGAGCATCTTTGCATAGACATTCACTTAATGACACTCCACTTAAATAAAGTATTGCTGTTTAATAAAACTATTCCAGTTTAAATTATATTATAATTTAGATAAAACATACAAAATAAGGCGGATTCTAGGCCCAATAGGCATAATATACCCTTTGGTGCATAATGTCCACTGGAGTGGACAGATATATTAACCTGTCTGGTTTTTTGAAGAATAAAAGGATTTAATACTTATTCTTGAGGTACTTGGTGCATCTCCTCTTCCCAACGCCTTTTTAAACATGATGCAATATCTCAAAACAAAAAATAGATACAAAGGCAATAATTAAATGGAATCATAGACAGCACCACTTGGACAGTTCACCACTTGGTGGTTTGGACATGGTACTACTACAACCTAAATGGTTCAAAATAGCTTCCAAATATCTGTCCACTGTAATGGACACCATGCATGAAAGGGCATGCTTGTTCTAAAGCAAACATGAGTTTTGAAAAATGGTCCTATATAAATAAGGTTTACTGATATACTTAAATGGGGAAAGATGCTTTTGCGTCCAGATAGTGTAGTTACCGCATCTACCCGCAGGCGTCTCATGGGTAATGCTAACTGTTGAAACTTTGACCCCTTGGTCAGACCATGCAATATTTTCACGATTTTGAACTTTCTAGTTTTCTTATGCATATTTCCACTATAGCCTCTTAGTTCTTTGCTGCTGTAGCCCATCCATTTCCATCTATGCTTTGTTGTAATGTTGTGCACTTTCAGTTGCTGTGAGATGCTGGTCATTCTCCACTGACCTTCATGCCCACAAAACTGCCATCAACCTTTCTTTGCACTATGTTCTGTAAACACTAGACACTGTGATGCATGAAAATCTCAGGAGATCAGCATGTTCTGAGATACTCAAAGCAAGCCCGTTTGGCACCAACAAACATTCCATGGTTTAACACCGTTTCTTTCACATTCCGCTGTTTGATCTGAACAACACCCGAACATCTTGACCATGTTTGCACACTTTTATGCATCGAGTTGCTGCCACATTGCCAACTAGATACTGAATTAACATGCATAATAAGGTGGCCACAGTGTGCGTGTATGTGTCTGTATAATATCCTTCTTTAAGATGGCCTTCTAAAATTAGGCTGGGTACACAAAATTATATTAGGGGAGACCGGGGGCAATTGTAATACACTCAATTCCTCCAATCAGAAACATGCTCAGTAGGATTCTGTCTCTGCCTGTGAAAAAGAAGCACAATCATTTCACCTCAGCAGAGGTTTTTAACAAAATACTAATTTTGAGGTATGAAAGTTACTTTTTGGACGTACAGTACTTTTCTTCTGCTGTCTAAAGTTTAGATGACTGCAAATTTAAACTCACATACATTTTATCTCTATAGGTTATTGATAAAAGAATTAACATAAACATTAAATCTAGTTACCACTAGAATAGTTGCCTATAGTCCTCTGCAAAAATAGAAACAGGCTTTTGCTTTTTGAATGCATATGATACCTGACATCCAAAAGAATTTGAACCATATCCAAAAAAATGAAATAAAAAATCTTAAGTAACTTTATTAGATACTACAGCAGTAAAGTGATTACTTTGAGGTAGGCTTTTATTTGAAATACAGTGGGTTAATATGACTATGCTGTGTTTTTACAGTGAATAGTGGAAGAAATGCATATTAAATCATGGCATGCAGAGAAACTAAACAGCTCTAAATCTCATTCGCCTTTGTGAAAATGAAACCACAGACAATGCCACCTTGTAACGTTGTAACATTTATAATGTTTTAAGCTGAAGCCAAGGAGGACTGTGGGGATGAGGTCACCTTTTGGAACTTATTGATGATATTCAATGCAACATGGATACCAGGTATGTTCTCCCTCTGCAACACTGCTGTGCATCCCACACCCCCAATCTTATATTAGGAGCATGGATGACAACAGGATTGCCAAGAGTTAGAGAGCTTGGATGAAAAGATTTGCAGCTTTGCCTTTAAAGGACCTGAATGAACTTTGCACTTACCGTACTTGTCTATCTCAAATGGACTATTTTTGTGGCACCTACCTTTGAAATCCTGATGACCAAAACCTTAGCAGGGAAAAACGCCTCTCCCTGATGACAGCTGACCTCCCAGACCGGTTGAATATGAAACGAATCGTTGCACATACACAAGCTCTTTTATGTACAGTAAATGATCTTTCCAATGATCTGTACTGAAAAATCCTCTGCTTGATCAGACTTGCTTCAGGTGAGAAGACCTATGTACAGCAACAGTTATGCAAATTTTTTTATGCAAAGATAATTAGAAATTTTGCCAATGCCAATTTTACTTTTACCATCGATTTTACTTAGGCTATATTTATTTTTCTTTTGCTTATATTTATGATTTAGCTCAGTATCATTGCTACAATCTTGTCTCTATGCTTCATGATCAAGAGACCTTCAACAACAGCATTTTTAAAAGCATGATTAAAATCCATTTCTAAACATGAGTGATTTGAATCAGCCAGTTCTCAGAAAGATTTCTTTTCCTAACCAGGAATGCTCTGTGAATTTTTATTTATTAATTAATTTCTATTTTATTTTATTTTTTGCAGACAAGCAAGAGTATCATTTTGAGGAGTAGTTCACCCATAAACTATTTACTCATAACACTGCCCTGCATCATGTTTGTGGAATGAAATCCAATAATTGTTTCTAACTAATTTTGGGGTGCTGGTTACAAAAATCGCTGTTTTGCTCTAGCACGTCACACTTTCTCACAAAATATGATTCGCAGCATTTTTGCTTTCGACAACCATTTGTAAGGTGAAGAAGTTTTGTATTATCACCAGAAAAACTGCCACAAAGACATGATTCCTATCTTCCTCTGAGACCGGTTACTATTTGTTCAATTCTCAGCCCATTTTCAAATGTTTGACATTATTTTATGCCTATTAATCCTGATTTCAAGGTTAATTATCGCCAGTGACAGAAGAAAATGCAAATATGAGCCAGATGCAATTTATTTATAAACGTGTTATTATTTGAACATATTTTTTCCCATTCCTTTGTGGATTATAACTTAAATGATACATTTTGAATTTTTCTTTTTGCCATTAACCACATTTGACTGCTTCTGTTATTTTGATAAATGCATTAAACCTGATTCGTATATAATTAGAAAATTCTTCATTCTTATTTTGTAAAGAAACTGTGTGAATGTTTTTATTGATATTTTTTAACATATTAGGCCTTTTTTTTGCAAATCAGCAGACATTTTTCCAAGATGCAGGACTGTGTATAATCTAATAAAAAAATAACATATTTGTATTGAATATGTGGGTCAGAGGGAAGAACTTCATTAAATAACATTTTTTCATATTGTTTATATTTTTCACTTTTTGTAGCTATTTTGAAGAAAATGATCTTGTCCTTTTCTTTTTTTTCTTTTTATATATTTTTTATGTATTTGTATCATATGACAGAAGATGCACAATATAGTACAATATAAGTTGTGGTCACTTTTATGCATGTTTCCCAACTGAAATCAATGTATAGGATGCAAAACCCAGTCCTATTTCAGATATTATTTCTTTATATAACATGAGCTATTTGTGGAAAAACATGCAGTCACCCATGAACCCTGCTGCACCGCCCCATTTAAACATAGTATAGTGACATGAAGGCGGTGGCGGAGCCTGCATGCATGGCTACGATTGCTATGTGCAGTTTCACAGACGTGCTTCTTTTCATGAAAACACTGCATTGTTCCAAACTAACCTGCATTCGCTCAGCCTATAAACACACGTACAAACCCAAAGCAGAGGAAAGTGCTGCTTCACATGAGATTGAATGATAGTTGTCATCCAACCAAGACCTCATTCTGATCAGACCAAAACCGCCAGATTAATCGCCATCTTCGATGTCACGGCATGTTATTCAAAGACACACATGCTGAGACTGTATTCAAGTTCTATATAAAGATCAACGGCTATCTGAGCATCAGACGCCTGCGGCATGAATAGAAGGCTGATAGATAGATAAAGGCTCTCTTACATAAAGCCATCCAGGATATTTTTTATAACTAGAATCTCTCATGGTGGTTTTGAAAGATGGTAGATATACAACCACAGCATGAAGGTCAGCTTCTGCAACTCCATTTATAGATTCTGTCTCAATTAAGAGTTACATATTGAGGTCAATTGTTTGCATATAGACATCAGTGCAAGTTTTGCTCATAAATATTGATTATGTTATGTGGAATTGGCCTATTTATAGGGATGGTTCACCCAAAAATGAAAATTCGTTGAAGGTCAAATTTGTTGACAGTTGACGGTAGCCATAGACTTCCATTGTATAAAAAAAATTCTGGCTACTGCCAACTGTTTGGTTACCAACATTCTTCAAAATATCGTCTTTTGTGCTTAACAGAAGAAAGAAACTCATAACCATTTGGAACAACTTAAGGGTGAGTAAATGATGAGAGGATTTTCATTTTTGGGTGAACTATCCCTTTAAACCTTCAATCTGCATCAACTAATTAATATGCATGACCAAAAGATTTGCACTGGATTTGTATATTTTGATCCAGTGCAGACATGCTTGAAAGACCATCATGGAACACAACGCTATATTGGCTTTGAGGTTCACTTTGAATTTTTATTGCTTAGATATTTTTACACAATATTTTACTGTTTTTCTAAAAATTGTGAACATGTTTACTAATTTTACATCTTCAACGAGGAGATCAGGTTTGTAGTCTAGCATTTGATCATCTCAGAGATGTCAGAACTTTCAACAGTTAACCCTTTGAGCGGTACAGTCCCACATATGGGATTTTTATTTCCGTGCCCCTGGGAGTACGGTCCCACATATGGGATTTTGAACGTTCGGTGACATCGCAT